CCTGCACAAGTTGTACATGGCATCTCCGTTTCCTGCACTAAGCTGTCCTGGTCTGGTTCTCTTGGTCTGTTGAGGAGGGAGATGGCCTTACCCCGTCCCGCCCTTTGCCAGACTGCTGCCTCTTCAATCAATCGTTCAACTACGGTCCTTTGTGGCGATGGCTGGTTTCTGAATATCCGTGCGTTGTGTTCGTTCCATAATGACCACCAGACCAGCTGTACGAATGCACTCCATGGCTTCCTTGCTGATGAAGAAATGAGGCCATTGGACTGCTCGATCCAAGTCCCCAGGGAGGTTGTCGCGGAGGATGGAGCGAGGCCCGGATGAAGGTTGCAGCGAGCGATGATATCTTGCCAAATTCGGATGGATACGGGGCAGGAAGCTAGCAGGTGCACGATATCCTCCATTGGCCCATTGCAAAGAGAGCAAGACGGATTATGAGGCCAGCCTTTCCTCGCAAGGACATCGGCTGTGTTGCATCGTCCCAGCAGCGCCAACCACGCAAAAAGTTTGCATTTGCCCGGTGCATCAGATTTCCAAAGGAATGCAGCCCAAGATGGCCGAGTGCAGCCCTCAAACTGAATCTTGTATGCCGATCTCGCCGTGTACACGCCGTCTGCTGTCCATTTCCATTGGACACGGTCATGTTCTTGAGTTAATTGAATATTTTGGATTGCCTCCCACAATTTCAGAAATTCCCTCGTCGCCTGAGCCGAGAGGTTGGCTTTTAGGTGCCGGATCCATCTGTTGTTCTCCAAGGCCTGCGCAACGGTGAGGTTTTTCCTGGTGCAATGTTGGAACAACACCAGGAAGGTGTCCTGTAGATTGATGCCCTTATACCACGGCTCCTTCCAAAAGAGAATGTGGTCGCCCTTGCCCAGCTGGAAGTCAACATACGCGTTGAATAGAGATCTGACCGATGAGTCGATAGGCAACTCCAGCCCCTGCCATGCTTTGGTGCCGTCGTTCCAGGAGAGCCACAACCACCTCATCCGTAGGGCGCGACTTTGGGCTGTCAGGTTGGTGATGCCGAGCCCTCCAAACTCTTTTGGTCGACAGACAGTACCCCAGTTGACGAGGCATTTGCCTCCGGCCGCCACCTCGCTGCCCTCCCAGAGGAATCCACGATGAACCTTGTCGATCAGCTTAGCCAGCCACCCAGGTAGTATCGATGCGAGCATTTGAAAAATCGGCATCGCCGAGAGCACTGTCTTGACCAGATCCAGCCGCCCATCAAGGGAAAGAAAGGCAAGCTTCCACCCCTTCATCCTTGCAATGAGCTTGTCGCAGATCGGCTGTAAGTCATTCTTCTTTAGCTTCTTGTCCGCCAGTGGCATGCCCAGATAAGTGCAGGGAAATTCTTTGATGGGGCAGCCCAAGTCCTGTAGCAGTTGTTGGAGGTCGATCCCATTGCAGCAGATCGTGGAGACCGAAGATTTTGCAAAGTTGGTGTGTAGGCCCGTAGCTTCACCGAAGAGCTTGAGAATTTGTGCCAGTGCCAGTACCTCCTTGCGGCATGGGTTGATGAACAAGATTGCGTCGTCTGCATACAGCGAGAGCCTGAAGGGTAGTTGTTGACTACCGATCGGTCCCAAAATCCCGGCCGTCACCGCCTTGTCGATGAGCATAGCAAGGCAGTCCATGACCAGTACGAACAGTAGCGGTGATAGTGGGTCTCCCTGCCTCAGTCCCTTCACTAAATTGATCGGTTCCGATAGATCACCATTGACCAGGATCCTTGTCGAAGAGGAGCTGAGGAGTGCTGACAAACAGTTGGTGAATCCTCTCCCAAAACCTCTTGCAGCAAGTAGCTCAAGCAGGAACTCCCATGAAACAGTATCGAAGGCGCGTTGGATGTCTAGCTTCACCATTATCGCCGGCGTGTTCGCACGCCGGAGAGCTTTGGCCAGCCCGCTGACATAACAGAAGTTGTCGTGGATGGCGCGCCCTTTGATAAACGCATTCTGGCAAGGGCCGACCAGCCCATTCATCCGGCGCTGCATCCTCGTGGCCATAATCTTGGTGATTAGTTTGGCGAAGCTACAGACAAGGCTGATGGGTCTGAAGTCTTTTGTGGTCAGGGCCTCTGCATTCTTTGGGAGGAGGATCATAGTAGCTTGGTTCAGCCGATGCAGGTGCGTTGATGCGTTCGCTTGTACGGCCCGGGCGGCCCTTGTCAGATCCTCTTTGATTATGGGCCAACACCGCTTATAGAACAAGCCCGTAAACCCATCAGGCCCTGGGGCACTGTATCCATCCAACTCCTTGATGTTCGCCAGGATTTCTTCCTCCGTGATAGCCTCGTCCATCTCTGCAAGGTTTAGTCTTGTGTATCCAATCCTGGACAGGTTCAGTTTCCTGGAGCGGGGTTCCTTTGCTCCGAAAATAGGCTCGAAAAAGGAGTGGAAAGCCTTCACTTTTGCGTCTTGGTATGTGATGATCAGCCCGTCGACCTGTAACTTGATGATGAAGTTCTTTCTCCTTCTGGCTGATGCTTTCGCTTTGAAGAATTTTGTGCCTGCGTCTCCCTCTTTAATGCCCTTCACTCTCGATTTCTCCCGCCAGATGGCTCTGTCAAGCGCTGCATACCCTAGCCTCTGCATCTTCAAGGCGGCATGGAGTTGTCTCTCTGCTGTTGACAAGGGTCGAAGATCCATGGCCCGGTCAAGCTGGCCAATGATCTCGCTTGTAATGGCCGCTTTCAGTTTGATGTCGTTGCAGAATTGGCCTTGCCATTGTTTCAAAGCTTTAGCTGTGGCCGCAAGCCTTCCTGCAAATTGGCCGACCGGATCCCCCGACGTCGGCGCCCCATGCCAAGCCCCTTGAACTACCTCGTCGAAGCCGTCAAGTTTCACCCAGTGGTTCTGGAATCTGAATGTTCTACGCTGACGGAAAGCAATCTCACAGTTCAGGAGGAGAGGACAGTGGTCGGATATGTCCGAGGATAAAGCTTCGAGCATGCAGTTGGGCATTGCCTCCTCCCAGTCTCCATTGATGAGAACTCTGTCCAGCTTCACCATCGTAGCGTTTGGTTGCTCGTTGCTCCACGTATATCTACAGCCATGGAGATATAGGTCCTTCAGTTGAAGTTCATTGATGAAGTTTCTGAAGACTGTGATGCAACGTCTGTTGATCCTCTGGTTGTTCTTGTCGGCTGCGCCGGCGATGAGGTTGAAATCGCCGACCAGCGCCAGGGCAGTGCCATTGGGGATACTGCCCTGAATAGTGTCTTTGAGCTCCCGAAGGAATGCAATCTTTTCCTCCCAGATCTGCGGACCATATACCCCAATCACACCCACTGGGGTTCCCTTGGCATCTTTTCCCACAGCCGCCACCGTGTACCCCTGAACTGCAATGGTGGTCATGGAGTAGTGATCGCCCTTCCATGCCAATAACACACCTCCTCTTGACCCAACAGTCGGCAGGTATGCAAACTCCGAGAATTCCGTGCCACAACATTGGTTCACCATGGCTCTGTCGATGAAAGATAGCTTTGTTTCTTGCAAACATACTAGGGATACATTGTCCCGGTACAGCACCTCCTTAACTACTGTTCTCCTAGCCGGGTTGTTCAAACCCCTCACGTTCCATACAATCCAATTGTTTTCCATAGGTAAATTGCTCGACTAACGGCAGCCTTTCCGCCCTAGGCGGAGGCCAGCACTGGCACGGCCGAGCCTCTCTTGCCCGCCCTTGCAAGCGAGGCAAGGGCCTCTATCTGAACATGTGAGAGTGGTTCATCGAAGGCTCTTCTATACTCAAGCAGGCGTTGCTCTTCTGTCTCGCCACGCTCTGGTATGGAAAGTCCCCTTTTGGACATGACCAGCTTCCTTGCCTACGCCATGATGTTGCCTTGGTTCTCCGGGAACAGCTTCTTCTTGCTTGAGAGGCGGTAGCTGCGCCTGGTGGCCATTCCGGGTGGCTTGGCTGGGCGGCGGGGGCGGTCGCGCTTGGCCGTTGGTGCATGCAGAATGGCGGGCTCAACTGGAGTTACCACTAGTTCCAGGAAGTGTGTCGTTGCTTGCTCGTGGGTGATTGGTTGGAAGATCAGCCCATCATTGGCCTCCTTTGGATTCTCCTCCTGGTCCCCCCAGCGATGTGGCCCCCCCTGCCATCACAGCTAGTGGGACCCGGCAGGCGCGTGGGCATCGGGGTCAGCGGCCC